TTTTGGCTCAAAAATGATATTTTCGACTTCTTCAAAATTATTAACCTGAATGCCATGATTCTTGGTGTATATGTCAACATCTTCAATTCTCTATTTTTTGGCAAATATTTTCATAATTTTTCATCAAAACCAATAGTCCGAATTCTTTGATACTTGTACACATGCAGCTTGGGTAGACCTCTATTAGATTTGTCCATTTCGTAAAGATATCTTCAATTCTATACTTTTAGTGAAATATTCTCTGCAACAAAATCAAGAAAGTTGGTGTCTTGTGATATTAAAGCAGCTAGCATTAAGTTTATTTTGCTTCTTAGTCTTCGCTTTCAGAGCATGCATCACAAACAGCGGAACTATATCAGCCGACAGGCTGCTAGTTTCTCTATAGCATTACTCTAGCAGTCATATTACTAGTAAAACACACAGCCGAAGTTCATATTTTCAAAATCGAACGTTTTTATTCGAACTGTCATGCTTCATGTAATTTCAAAGAAATTTGTGCTTCTGCTTTCGCAAGGTCTGGTGTAGATGACTGAAGATCCTGTTGAGATAACATTAATCCCGAAATCATAAAGGAACATGAGTTGTGTTCACGTTACACGAAGTACGGGCTAAGATTTAAGCTGATTTAGGCTTATCTAGCATATTTGCATTTTGGCTAGACCCAATTGCGTCCACGCACAGGGAGGGCCAGTCGTTAGCACGGGCTAAGGGGTGCCATTAGTCGGTGACCTTTGGTAAGCCGCTATTTACGAACGAAAAATGGATGACACGCGCGAGGTTCTATTTCTGCTGCTGGCATGTTTCGTTCTAAATTTGAAGCGACCTGCACAGGAACGCGAGAGAAGACGGACCCAACTTATTTGGATGCACATAAACAGTATACAACGGTCGTAACAGAATACAGAGTTTTATTGATGCATGTCGTAGACAGCGAACCAAATTTATTTTGTCTACGATTGGAGCTGCTGTACGCTCTACTACTACAGTGACCCGATTAGTGTGGAAGCGAGCGCGAAGTAATGACTGGTGGAATAGCGA